GGTAAAGTGAAGAAAAAAAGAAGGACGCCATCTTTTTTAGGCGCCGTTTCTCGTTTACGGGAGTAACTCGTCTCGAGCCACGTATACGCCAGGTTATTTATTTTTGTATTTGTATGTATTTATGGATCCTGCTCGGTTCTCATTCCGACAAAGTTCGTCGCAAGTAATAATCATAAAACGTGTGCCCCCCCCCCCCCAAAAATTGTGTTTCTATTTTGTTTTAATGGTGCACGGTTTATGAATGCGAATACGGAAACCGGACTGGGGGGGGGGGGGGGGGGGGGGGGGGGGGTACTGAGGGTTACGGCGTTGCCGGAGCCAATTCCAGAATTCGTTCTGAATTAGTATCGGCCTGCCTGAAACAAAATTTCTCTCAAGCCTCCTTTTTTCTTAGACAGTCTCGATGAAATCACTGGCTCGGCCAATACGCGAATCAACCAGCCAGTGCACGGAGACTACTATCACCTTCCGCATGCCTCTGTATTGTTTGCGCTAATTGTTTTGGTGAGGTCCTGACAAAGAACGTATCGGCCCATTCCGACTCGAAAGGAGGAAGCTGAGGACAGAGGCAGCTCGAGAGCTCAGACAGCCAAGTTTGCGACTGCGTGCAGAGAATGGTAGGAGTTGCACCTCCGCGCCGCTAGGGACGCTGGCAGGTATATGCATGGTATATGAAGAGACCAGGCCGACTACGTCACCGACCTTTCAGACATGGCTGCCTTCCTGCATGGGAAGATTCGATCGGTCCCGCGATTAAACTGAAAGTTATCTACGAAACTAACGCGTCGTTTGCAAAACACATTGAGCACGAATTTAGTAACATCTGATTGGTTTAAGCGATATATTTATCGCACATTTTGTTCACCGCGAGCTTTGAGCGTCCTGCGACCAAAAACGAAGCAAAACATAACGTTTTCTCCCGCATTAAGGAAATGCTGAGGTCATCAATGCGCTGATCAAAGAACAGAGGTTACCGTCATTAAGAATATGTACCGATACCCTCAAACATAACCACCCCCCCCCCCCCAAAAAAAAAAAAAATGATAAAACATATTAGAAAAGTAAAACGGGTTGCAAAGCCCCCCAGCATACGTAAACTCTTAACTCAAGAGCTGGTCCGCCAGCTTTGCAGAAACTAATAACCGTACCAACCACTCCCTAACTTGCGACACACATAATTAGAGAAAAAACAGTACATGCAACTCTGATTATAAATATGCGAAGCAAAGCAAAAGAAAAAAACAAAAGTAGGGAAAAGATGGGCTGGTTTTTGATGGTCCCAGGGGACACACGTGTTCGCTCGTCGGGTTCAGGGAGCATTAGTGGTCGAACGCACAAACTCTCGAGCAAAGACTGCCCCAGGGAGCCGAATGAAGTGATACGCAGCCCCGACGCGATCGTCCAAGAACTCGTCGGCGCTGGGGTGCGGTGATTACGGCCGCCGAGGGCAGGCGTAACGCAGTCGGCAAAAACCTCGCCCGACAGAAATTACTCAGAAATTACGGCACCGTAGCGCCCCCGCACGGTAAACAAGACGACCACTAAGCCGTCCAACTAAGCGGAAGAGCAACAACAGTTAGCCCTGGCCAAACGTATTAAAACCGGGCGTCATAATTATGGCCGCGCGAACGGGAGTCAACACTCCTTGCCCGCCTTCTTTCGAGTTGTTGCGGAGTTTATTTTTCTTCTCCGCCGCCTTTGATCTTCGCTCCGAGCTCCTTGGCCTCGAAAACTGCACCGTAATCAGCGGCGGCACTCCTAATGAAGAAACTTGCGTAATCCTCCCCAAGAGTTATTTGATTATCCTTGTTTGTTTGATTAACGCGACTTTCTCTTTGCAACGCAAGAAAATCTAGTTCGGTGCGTGAACTGCTCTGCTTGCTAACCACCCTGGCGTGGTTCTGGAATTAGGGAATGCAAATTGGAACGAACTTTGAGGGGCCTGAGTGTCTCGCTTGACCCCTCGGACTTTGCTGTAATCACGCACGGTCAAAAAGTCGTGGCCCCTTTCTTGTGATTGCTGCTCGACGTACGTCGAGCAGCAATCACAATCTGCAATCAGCAATCTTCAGCAATCTTCAATTTATCCCTAAACCGGTTTCGTATTATGTAGTTATTCTATCCCTAGGCAGCCATATCTTCGTTGAAGAAGTTTTCATTTAAATGGTAAACCAGAAGGTATGCTCGTCATTATTCATACATTTAATTTTTTTATATATATTTGTGATCGGAAATTTATATATAAACTACTCTGGCGTGTTAAAGCAGCCGCCTATTAATAAAAAAAATGTTTATTTGCGAGAATCATGAGCATCGAGCGATCACGATTTGAAAGAATTTGTTGCCATCACTAGCTTTTGTGGTTTCGTCCTATTGTCAGAGTTTCAGCTCACAAGTTCCTTAATTTTGTCTTCTCTTCTTTTTTCTTCAGTAGGTACTGAAAATATGGCGAAGCCTGACGGGCATGGGATACAACACAGGTTAGTTATAAAACAATAAGAATACTAGCCTGCACAAGTGAATATTGTTTAGATGCATGAGGACTCTGTCTCTCGTTATAGAAAGTCTCATAAGCTTTATTGGATTTATATACTTAGACTCACACAAGGACAAGCCAAAAAGCCAGATGCCCAGAAGAAGCCGTTCTACCTCTAAGCCACGCAACCAGGAGACCGGTCGCAGCGCCGGCTTCGTTCGCCGAGTGCAACGAGTACAACTAGTAATGGTATGCCAAACAATGTAATAGCATGTATTGAAACAGGGGTTCTCTAAATTAACTGCGTCCGATTGAGTGACGGGTCGTAGCCCCCGAACCACCGTCGACCGGAAAGTAAAAAAGACCAGCCGCGTGTCGTCGGGACAGGGCGACAATACGCATCCTTCGCTCATCGAGTTCGAACCGAACAAACTCTCTCCGCGCTCGTGGACGACAACCAGCGACAGCACGTCTCAGTGGATACCGGTCTGCCAAGGGAAGAGGAAGAGCCCATTCCTCCCCAGAGAGATCATTGCTATAGTCCGTTGCAACTCAAGAAGATAGGGCGAGAGAAAGGAAGGCCGGGAAGAAGGAAGTAGACGGAACGCTGGAGACGAGAGAGGGAACCTTGATCCTCTCTCCAGCGTTTCGTCTGCTTCCTCCTCCCCGACCTTCGCTCGCTCTACCTGTTTGAGTTGCAACGGACTTAAGGAGGAGAGGAGAGTGGTAAGGACAGGCTGCCCGCCCCGCCTTCACACGGGACAGAGCAGGACACGGCCCATCGGGCATTATCGTGATCATCTAGAAACAAGGAGATAATTGATCTCCACACAAGATTACGCGTAGGATGTATGTCCTGAGATGTAGTGCCCCCTTTTTTGACAATGCAGAGTAGCGACTTTGGTCAATCTGATTACTATCCTGAGGCATGTGATTACTTTAAAAACATACCAGAGTACAAAGCCCGCTTATACCAGAACCGACAGGAGCCGGCATCGGATTTATTACGTTTTACTGCTTCAGCGCGAACGTTTACTGAGTGAATGTTTACCAGTCTGGTGCAGCTTCATAACTACGGTTTAGGAGACTTTACCAACTACGGCTAACATGTTTGCATTGAAAGATACCAGAAACATACCTTGTTTCCACCCTATTTTGTTGGGAAATAAACGATACGATTTCTTTCTGCCGGCTTATATTGAAGACGAGATGTTTCGGCGGCTCCCTCTTAAGCCTAGTTCACATGCAGCGGTTTTGGCCCTAGAGCGGCGCGATTTCTGCCGTCGCGGCGCTCTGACCAGCACCAGCAATTCTGCGGCACGAGCGCCGCGACGGCAGAAATCGCGCCGCTTTAGGGCCAAAATCGCTGCATGTGAAACCCGCTTTAAGCGTGTTTCACATGCAGCGATTTTGGCCCTAAAGCGGCGCGATTTCTGCCGTCGCGGCGCTCGTGCCGCTAAACCGCTGGCGCTGGCCAGAGCCAACACCACCTAGACAGAAGGCCTCCGCATGGTTTCCTCTTCCTCTATGAAACGTCATCACAGTCGGATCGCGCTCGGTCGGCTATTGGACCCGAGCCCGACCTTCGACGCGCTGATTGGCCACGAGCCGCAGCCGAACACTGACGCAGCACTCGTGCCCAATATCTCGCCTCGATCGATCTGACACTGATGACGCGTGTGGAGGCCTTCTGTCTAGGTGGTGTTGCCAGAGCGCCGCGACGGCAGGAATCGCGCTGCTCTATGGCCAAAACCGCTGCATGTGAACTAGGCTTTAGGGATCCTATATGTGACGTCGCGACCACGATTATCGATTGCCCAAGACAATTTTGATGGTGTGAGTAAAAACATGTGGAAGCTTGTAGTCATCACGTCCTCAAACCAACACCGTCCAACTTGGCAGTCTCACATTTTTTTTTTTGTTTCCATTAATAAAGTAGAATTCATCACGCTCAAGACGAAATACTGAGCGCTTGAACAATCCTGAACCACAGCGACGCTTTTGGGTCGCGCAAGTCACCAAAAGTAACGTGAGACAAACGTTACATGCGAGACTTGAGACATGCGAGACATACAAGCAATGCAGAATCCGCCTCATTATCAGCCTTGCTTACGCCTGGAGCACCACCAACACTGAAATCAATGAGCAAACCATGTCATATAATACCTGAGACTGTGGTGGAATAAATGGGAAACTTTTTAGTAGAAGGAACCGACACAAAAAGTCGTCCCTTTCTGTGTCTGTTGCTTCCACTAAAAAGTTTCCAATTTCTTCCCCCACAGTCTCAGGTGTCATATGACTTGATTAGCTATCACCAGCTCGCCTGCACACTCACTGTCTTTTCAACAATGAGCAAATGTCTGCGAACAAGAAGTGTCAAAAATGAATGTTCGGGTACACACGAGAAAAGTCGAGGCCCTTAAAATAAAAAAAAAAAAAGACAAAGGATCCGCAGCCCGCGCGCCCCGGTAGCCCGAGCCCCGCGTTCTTTACTGCATCCCTTTTGCGAGAAGCATCTGGAACCATGCCGCTGTCCGAAGAACACCTGCTCCGACGGCACAGTCGGTTCCGCGTCAACGTGGACGACAACCTGCTGAAGAACTCCCTGCTGTACATCTGCGGGTCCTGCCTTCTCCTCGTCATCGTCTTCCTCGCCATGCTACCTGGACCGCTGGTCAATTACATGCGTCGCGTAAGCTTCCTCCGTAGCGTCGTCAAGATGGACAGGAGCCTCGGCAAGGTACGCATATACCGCTGACCTCCGTTCCGTCTTCTGGAAAGCGCTTCATTTTCCCTGTCCCGCCACTACGTCGCGAGCTCTCAGTTTCGCCGGTAGTAAAGCTCCTGTATACATATAGCTTGCAATCGACGCCATTGCTGGGTGATGGTGGTTATTTCGACTTACTGGTTTGTTCGAACTACAACTTCTGCGCTGTGAAATTAACAGGCCGAACCGAACCCTCGGGGCTCATAAAATACTGACATGGCCGCGAATGACGTCGCATGCGAGCTATGTATTCACCTCGAGATACGATCGGCAGGGCTCATGTAGTGAAAAGCAGAACTACGCTTTGTTTTACACCGACTTGGAGCAAAGCGAACGCTACGCACGCGAGGCAGAAGCTATGGGAGGCGCGAATGCAGCGCTCGCGCACTGGAATCAGCTGCTAAGAGGTCGTGCTCTGTACCTTTGGCCGTGCTCCGTGCCGTTAGCGTGGATACTTTGTCTCCACCCGTATTTTGGACAGATGGAATATCCACGTGTCTCATAAAGAACCATGAATAAACAAGAGCACGCTTCCCCTTATTTCAGTCTGGGTCGCGAGCACGGTGGTCGCGAGGCCAATTGCAGATATTCACTGTACGCCATCTTTGAGTGCACAGTTCACTGGGCAAGCTCAGAACGAGCTCGCACTTTTATGTTCCAAGACCGGCAATCATTATGGTGTGGAATACACGTCGCAAACGCACCGAGGAAGCCGATCGCCAGTGAATACCTTTTACACACCAGGCATGGACACTGCGCTCGCGCAAAAGCCAGACTCGCGCGAGATAAAAGGTTTGCGCATGCGCAGTGCCGAAGGCATCGCCATCACAGTGGTGTGGCGTCAGAAAGTTGAGTTGGTGTGCGTCAAAAAGTGAGGCGAATCTCCTCTGCATTTGTGGAGAAGCTTCTTTCCCACATTCGCATCCCAGCCAACAACGCCATCTTTTCTCTTTTTTTTTCTTCTTTTTTTTAGCGTTGCCGGGAACCACTTTTTGATGACGAGGACGTTGTGCTGGATTATCAACGTCACCTAAAAGCAAACGCGGGGCATGGATTGGACCCGAGTGCCACGTCAGCGTTCGGCGGAGACTCATCTCCAATCAGTGACGACCCGAGTCTCAGTCGAACGTTTACGCACCACTCGTCTCTTCCCCGTCTTGGCGCGCTCAAAAATGGCGCGATCGGCGGGCAGGAAAGGAAATATTTGAGGGCGACTAATGGTCCGCGTTACTTTCACTATAAAGGGTCCTTAGCCAGCATGTGTAACGCGTTTCGTGGCGACCAGTAATAGCGCTCTGATTGCAAATATTTTCGGAGGTACAGTTTTCAACTTGCAATGTCGTGGCTTGGTAGGTACTGCGGATTCTTGGGCGAGTTGGTACTGAAACTTGGAGAACATAATAGCGCTTCACGACAGGGACGAAGAGTTGAAACAAGACAACACAATGCGCTAGCGCATTGTGTTGTCTCGTTCCTACTTTTCGTCCCAGTCGTCAAGCGCTATTATGTTCTCCAAGTTAGTAGGTACATTTTGGCAACGACGCAGGGTTATCTAGGATATTATTATACTCGGCGCCGACACTCTCTTGTACAAAGTTTTTAGGGTTCGCGCAGTTTCCGCAACAGTCTCTCCTAATTACTTGAGCGAGCACACACGAATGAGGTGCAAACCGAAGCTACTTCGCAACTGAAATTTGCAAGCAAAGTTATCACCATTAGGGTGGTGACATTGAACCCTTTTGTAGAACAGTGCTTCTTTCCCTTTACTCTCAACCACGTACGTACATGAACGGCGTCTCACGCTTTGAGCTTTTAAGGTTGCCCGATTTTTCGCAACCCTAACGACTCGCGTTACCTCTCAGTCTTTTTCCTGCGATCATGTGGTGTTGGTATCGGTTTCTTTCTAAGAGGAGCGGCCTCAATGCTAAGAAGAGGGGCCTCAATGCCCTTAAGAAGAGCAGTGACGCACCTTGTGGTATCTTATTTAACTAATTATCTTATTAATTGATTAATCGATATTTTTCTTTCAGGAAAGATAGCTTCTGAGGCAAAACGTTGCAGCTGATGTTGCTTGACGAGGCCCAGCTCCAAAATAACAGCACATATTCTGCGGCTGCTTATTACACTGCAGTTATACAATCACATGCACAGGAGTAATTTTTGTTCAAAGCAAAGCGCGCACACACACAAAAAAACATGATGTTAGAACAATTGTGTTTTGTATAAATCATTTGAGAAAGGACACGTTTAACTGGTAATAAATGAATATTCAACACGTTGAGGAGCTGCCCATCTTCGTCCAGGTGGCCACCGAGGCCAACTTCACGGGACAAGTGGTCTTGTGCCACCTGAACCTGAGCGCCTTCTACAGGGCCGATCCGTACCGGTACACGGTACTGGACGTGCCGGTCAATGGCTGCAGTTACGTGGTGTACCCGTTGCATGGACTGGACGACTGGTTTGAGGACATGCTCAACTACGACGCCTATCAGAGGGCCTCCCATCCCGGACTCTTCGAGGACATGCAATACCTCAGGGAGCAGCACGGCTTGCCAGTACGCGAATCAGGGACCATATAGCGTTGCGGCCTTTCAGGTGGCCAACACGACGGTTCACAGTGCGTCAGCACAGACTAATCAACGCCTCTTATATTATGTTCTTATCATTACAAATTTACAGCAAAGCTTGTGTGAATTTGTCCATCGCTCTGGAAAGCATGAGTATTGGAAATGGCACCCACCTAAGGCTTTAAATGAAATGATCTATGCCCCATTGAGCTTTCTTGTATAAAGGCAGCACCTGGCGGTGGGGGCGCGCAAACCTAGTCTGGTGCAGTGGTATAGCAACTCCTCCTAGAAGAGAAGGCCGTGGTGCCCTTCTCGTGACGTCGCAAAGGAAGGCCATCGGGGGCGCGCATCGAAGCGAAGGCAAGGCGCGTGGATCGACCGTTGTAACGCACTTTTAGTCACATATACGCGTGTCTTATAGCTAAAATGAAATCTGCACATAGCAACGGGTCTCGAAAACATTTTATTACCCGGGCAAAACATTACACTGCTACATAATCGGTACGAAGGCACGAGGTATGCGTGTAAGACGTCTATAGAAAAATGAAAGCCGTTTACAAATCCCTGTAACGCCGAATTGGAGCGCAGCTCTTGAGGAGGAGTAGGGAAGGGTACTGAGGGGGGTCACGTCACCTGCGGGTAGTCACGTGACCCCGGGGGGTCACGTGACCTCGGGGGGGGGGAGGTCACGCGACCTCGGGGGGATCACGTGACCCCCCCCCCCCCCCCCCCCCGGTTACCCCGACGCCGACGCCGCTCAGGCTGGAAACGGGCCCCTAAAGCTGCGCTCTAAAATGTGATTGTTTTATGTCGAAAACGTTGAGTCACGCGATTATTGATGTAGGAATGCATATTTTATACAGAGATACTTCAACAAAATCGCGAGACACGCAGTGATTGGACACAGCAAAACATATCACAGAAAAAAAATCAGGTAGACGTAGGCAACGCGGACACGTCTAGACAAGTGTCACTTACGATCATGTAAGCGGTGTTATCTCGTGCAGTCACTGAATTCTTGCATTATACCCCGGCCACATGGCAAAATTAATGTAATTTCGATCGCATAACATTATGGGGTCGACAAATCAGTTTACGACGCTCGTACAATCCCTCAAGACCGCGAGCTGGTCAAGTCCCATATCATTTAATGAGATTATATTAACTTTTCTGTGTGGCAGGGGTACTAGACTTACTATTTGCAGTCAACTAATTGATTTCTCCCGTTAGGCTCGAGCTGCCTTAGGACAAAATATAACTTATTTTGTACAATAAAATATATCATCTTAATATAGTTAAGATTCTAGCATAAACGCGGTAAAGGCAATAAAATAACATTAGCATAAATAAACTCTTAAGCACAACCAACGCACTTTCAATAATCACACAAACGTGTTATTCACCTTCCAGTGAAAACTAAAATATTATCACGCATACTTACAATGTCGACGCAACTGCACACGGATAACGACGAAGAACAAGATTCCATTCTATCACAAGATTAAAACAAACAAACGACTGCAGCAGTTTACTTGCGTCCTACATGACCAAAAAAGCCCGTAAATAAGTTGTTTATCACCTGTCGATCGTATCCACACGTCCCGTAATGTCTGTCTTAAAAGCATTTGAACACGAACTCAAAGAAGTCTCTTTGTCGAGAGAGGGGTCTGTCGATAATCGACCAGTGTCATTGTTGACTTGTCACAACACATGAAAATCAAACCGTAGCAGGACTTGTTCCGCGAATCCACATAACTGCCATAGTATCAAGCGAATACAAAAACAGAAAACTACCCGAGACTGCGGTTACGACAGAAAAACGACGGGAAGGGGGAAACAAGTCTCAAACGAACCAAACACGAGAGCACCGGCAGCAGTGTGAGACGAAAGGCTCAACGTTTTCGACCTATTTCTTGCTCCTGTGCGCTCTCTGCGGCGATGACTGGATTGTTTTCGGTTCCCTTCTCTTTTGAAATGTCTCAGCGTTCTTTTTCAAACAGTCTGCAGCTTACAGCGTAAATTTGCCAGAAATGGGAGCCTATATTAGTGAAGAAAATGTTGCACAAGAGCCGGTTCATTCGAAAAGTGTGGGGAGCTGCGGGACTGCACGTAGTCCCGCGGTTACGGGGATAATCATAAATATAAATTTGGTACTCCCAACCTTAGTAACGCGCACGAATAAACGTACTATTACGTTTATATTATATATATATTACATTGTGCATGACTGCGCTTTTAAAATGTATATTAATGTCGGATAAACGCGCACGAACACCACCACGCCGCTCAACAATAACCATTTTTTTCACGTGGATACCAGTTATTTTCTCAACTAGTTGCACCATGGCCTTCCTTCTCCCACTTTGTGACGTAACCACTCGGAGCGCAACGGCCTTCTCTGCTAGGAGGAGTTAGGTGTAGGTGCAGCTAGAAAATGGGGGGGGGGGGGGGGGGGGGGGGGGAGATTATGGGGTTTCAACCTCCTCCTCCTCTTCTCCCCCCCCCCCCCCCCCCCCCCCCGGGCTTGAAAAGCAGCAGAGGCAAGCTGGGTACTGCAAGAGAGTGTAAATAGTTTATTGCTTCAATTTGTTTCGGTTTCGCTTCCTGTGAATCCAGGTTTCGAGAGGACGTTACAGACAGCGAACCACAATAGTGACGGCGGTCACGTGGTAGACACAGAAAAATGTTACCGGTGCACGTGCTCTGTATGCGCTGGAATAAGTGCAGTTGACTAGGCGTCCCCCGCGTCGTAGTCTTTTGAGCCGACGTGAACACCGACATAGTTGCGATCCCTGATCTGTGACCTCATAACCACGAGATTTCGACTCCCCGCGAGCTACGGCGAAACCTCGAAGTACAAACAACGCGATAATAAATTAGTTTGGCACGTTCAACATCGCGTTCCCTGATTAATGATACGTATTGCTTACAACAACAAAAAATTGAACGCCATGCAAAACCATAATGTCTCCACTTCCTCAAACTAAACAAAGACATCTGCCCCCAAGTTTCTGTAACGGTAGTTTCAGGGCATAAAATTGCTCTCTCGCGTCCTGAAGAGCTTATTGCGAAATATAAATGAGACGCAGTCAAAAGCAGAATTTAGGCTTGTTGCCGCCAAAATTCATTATACACTATTCCATTTCTTATCCCCCAAGCGAAAAATGTGTAGCCACTGGGCTGTGAAAGCATGCTCGCCGACTAATATTCGAAAGAAGGAATCTACTGCGCGGGATCAGAACGAGTTCCTGGGTCCTGGCAAAAGTGGCAGCGCGCACAAGGCGACTAATTATTAGAATAACCTATATAGGTAATTACCGGTCGGGCCCACGAATCTGCAAAATTAGCCAGCCTACCCGCTCTCAATCTGCATTCTATATCAATATCATTTTCTAAAGCCACATTCGGCAAATAACGGCTAGCTAAACCACACTTTGGTGAAGAGGTCCCTTCCCCCCTCCCCCTTTTTTCCGCGACGCTCCAAATCGCGCGCGCGTGTGTGCGTCCATATGTGTGTGTGCGCGTGCATGCATGTGCAGGCTTGTGTGCCTGTGTGTGTTCGTGCGCGTGTACGTGGGTGTGTCTCTGTGCGTGTGTGTGTGTTTGTCTATCACTTGACCGTGCATTGTACATGCATTTTTGCAGAAAGTGTCTCGCCTATAAGATGCCCGAAAGGGCCTTTTGGGGTAAAAAAAAAGATTAGTATTCGTTGCCTCGACTGACAATTGTGACCTTCCCGTGCCAGGTGCTTGTGTACGTGGACGCCCTGCACGGAGACCACGGTCAGCACCACCTGGTGCAGTGGATCGGAGGCGGCGAGACGGCGGCCATGCAGTTCGCCCGGAACCTCATCAAGTGGCTGCTGGGAAACCGGCTCAACGGACTCATGCTCGAGGGCGTCTTCCCGGCACCCGCGAGGGACCGCTCGGTGGTCATCAAGCTGCTCAAGAAGATGTACACCCTCTTCAAGCAGGTGTGGATAGTGTTTGCCGACACAGTCAGTCCGTCAGAGCGTGCTGAGTGACGGAAAACTTTTTATGGTCGCGAAGAAACACCCGAAAGACGCGAGAAAAACCGAAAAAAAAAAAAAAAAAAACAATGGGTGTGACGCCATACCCAGAGGTTTCTTTTTCGATTTCTCTGGTGAGGCACGCGGAAGGCGCGGAAATGTCGCGATACTGATACATCGCAATTATGTCCTCCCACCGAACGCGCCGGCAAGCAAGGCCTTCGGCGGTATTTTGAAAGTGCCGTTGCGGCTACTCGGCGCGTCAATCTGAAATATAATTTTGATACTCGTGATCTTGGACGCCAAATGAAGACGATTTAAGTGTTTTTTCATCTGTTACAGAACCGCTTCATCTTCCCTTTAAGCTCAATACTCCGCTTGACTTGTAAGTTCGACCGCAACCTATGCCACGATCGTGCAGAGCCAATCCAACGGCACCAAAAGTGCAATCAACGCGACGCTCATCGTTTTTGTGCGTCTGCCACCCCGTACTAAAACAACCACGCAGAGTGACTGCGCTGCGATCCTATACCTTTTTTTTTCTTCTATGAATGATTGGTTTAGCCGCGTCTAACGAATCGACAAAGACAACGAGCGTCCTGTTAATACCCTTTTGATGCTCCTTGGTTGACTCCATTCAGAGTTGATGGCAACGCGTTACAAACAACGACGCACCGGTAACGCGTTACTTTTTTACGGTAACGAGAAAAAAACGTAAGTGACAGGTATGTAACTGCTTGCTTTTTCAAAACAGTGACGGATAACGTTGTTACGTTATTCGGTACCTTTTTTACCCCAGGCCTTAAAAAGGTTTACGCTTGAATTTTTCTCGTGTTTTTAGGCGCCAAGCCACGTGAATGATTGAATATTTTTGCGCATGTACTTGCGTTTTTTTTTTCTTAACACCTTAAATAAAATTGTAAAAAAAAAAGCGAAGAAGATGGCGTAATTACGTTCAATTTCTGGATGACACAATATTCCTTGAAATCTGGCTCTTATGCATATCTGTAACGTCAAAACAGTAAAACGTGTTAATTCATAATTTAAAAGAAGTGAGGCGAAAGTAACGTGCGCTACTTTTTATCGGTAGCAGTAAAGCGTTCCTTTTATTTTTAATAAACGTTCCATGATAACGCATTACGTCTATTTTCAAGTAAGAAATAACGTATTTTGTTACTTTTTATTCGGTAACGCCTACATCACTGGCACTATGGAAAGCGTCCTTTGAACGTAAAGTAAAACTGGTATAGCGGGAATCGTCGCAAAGTGTAGACCAACAAGACACGATTTTTTTTTTTTTTTAAAGCACGTAATCGCGATTTAGCGGTAACCTTGTAACTTGTGTTTTCGATAAGAACATAATAGGCGACAGCACTGCGTCTCCTTTTTCACATGCCCTGCCTGCCGGTTTGTAGTCGCCGACGGTTTGAAACACGCAGTGTCCCGAGAATTTCATAATCGCTGCACGTCCAGCGTAAGTGCGCCATTAGCCGATAAGAATACTGAAGAACGAATCACAGAGTAAAAGGTGCGGACCTCCCAAGCCACGCTCTCCGTATCTTACGTTGTCGGCCACCGTGATATGTATGTTGCTGCCACCACGAATTTGTCTACGTCGTGTATCTTCTTTAACTGCTACCTGACAATAATCAACTACTTTTTTTCAGTGATGGGGCGAGAAACCGCGATGATAAAAAACGGATGTGGTGGCGGGAAGGGGGGGAGACCGGACTGCAAACCTGTTCCGTTTGCCACGTAATCGAGCACGCTTGAATTTTTTTTTTTTTTTTGTAATGTCTGGCCGGAATTTTTTAATTACCTAAACTTCCAAGGTGGTGGTGGTGACCTATATTTCCAGGCGCGTCGCCGAGCGACGTGATTGACTTTCGCGCGGAAACCCCAGGCTTGATTCCTGGAAGAGGGCGATCCTTTTATATATTCTTTCAAATTGAACGATCTCGTAAATTCGAAAACCTTGTCATCTGATCGAGGTTCGAATGTTCTACGCTCCGCCGAATGTTCCAGAAACCCACGCGGATACGAATCGTGCTCCGCGTGACGGTCTGTGGGCAGTCTCGCCCTTTGCGCTCGATCGTGCTACTCCGCCGACCTTCGACGCCTGCAACGCTACCCCTTTGTATGTTTGTTTTGGGCACAAGTTCGCGTGTTAAACATTTCGCCTACTACTCCACTAACCGTCTCTCTGACATTCGTGACATTAGGGAGTTTTCGTAGATCGTTTTCGCCGTCCCGCAAGGCCCTCCGCAACCCGCTACGCTAGCGGGAACTCCACAGTTAAGGCTATCGGCGCGCAGGCGCAGTAGCAACTTCTTCGTTGCGGAACGCTTAGCAGAGGGGGCAGCGCGGTCCACGAAATCTCCCTAATATCACTCACCAACTCGCTTTCCCGCAATGTCGGTTACCCCGTCTCAATGTTAATTTTTGGTGGCGATTCTGAGCGGACTTCAAGCAGGCGCTCCAAACTCGGCGAGAGAGGGTCGACGAGAACGTCGAGATCGGCCAGCGTCGCGCTGGCATTGACCGGCTCCAAGGTCAAGTGCGTCGCCGGCCGATCGAAGCGGTCGGTGATCGCGCCGATTTTCTCCCCCCAGTGTCCTACTTAAAGGGACACTGACACCCCCAAAAGTTTTATTTTATTTCTTGCCAGGCGATTTATTATGGTGTCAGAAGACTACCCAATCAATATTTTGCTACAGCGTCACGTATATTATTAATAAAAAAAAAATATTAAAAAAACGCAACTGCTCGAAACCGAAACTGTACTGGGGAGGAAGAAGTATTATAGAGGAGGAGAAAGTTGGCGGAAGTCACGTGCAACCATTTTTTTTTATTTCGTTTTGGCGGCTTTTTAGAAGCCGCGAAAAAAATGGGTATCATATTCCTTTTCTATTTTTAATATTCAGTGTGCGCCTTCGATGAAGATTACTTTCGCTGATTGTATGCAAACCATAGAAAACAGCACGTGACATCGGAGACGAGAGTGACGCGGATTCAGACCGCCCAGTTCTCTATCGGCGTTTTTCGGGAGGAAATAAAACTAATTTCGAGCCTCAAATTGGGTTTTAAGTAGTTGAGCTCTCACATTTCATGTGCAAATAAAAACCTTGGCGAGCATAAATACCCTGTCAGCGTCCCTTGAAGGCCGATTCATCCGTAAACATGCGCCTGCTTACGACCGGGAAGACATAAAACTCGTTTATTAAGCTTCTTGCTACGGTTTACAACCACGTAGCCGGTAGTAAGCAGTCTTACAAAACCTAAAAACCGGATTCTAGCCACGTCGAAAGTGTGTAAAGCAGACTTTAAAGCCCAGCGAAGAAACGAAACCAAACCATGCTCTCAACTTTTCTTTGCTTAAAGGCGCAGCTGCTTCTCGTGATCGTAGCCCCGGACTACGTCATTCTTGAGCATCCGTTGGCGTTCGGCAAGCGCCTGAGTCCTTACCTCCACTACCTGGTGGTCCGCAGCCACGACCACAGGTTCGGGAAGGCTGTCAACTCCCTGGACGCCCTGCAGAAGCGACTCCAGGACAGTCGGGACGTCCTTTCCGCCACCCTCAACGTGGCGATGGCGGCAGGCATGCCGTCTAAGCAGGCATGCACGCGGTTTTGTTCATCTACAGTTAGCGACAACGGTCGCGTACGGCATTAGTTCTACACTAAAGCGTTAGTTTACTCAACGGATAGTCGACCGATGTCCCGGCTAACCCACTGGCGTATAAAAAGTAATGACTTCCGCACGCTGATCAGTGACCTAAAATTGCCTATAGGGCGCAACCTTGCACAAACTTCTTGTTTCTGCAGTAAGCTTGGTCTGTGGCTTTTGATACCTTTTTCCTGCCGTTTTTGTGGCTGTCGCTAGGTTTCCTTAAATCCTGATATAAAACTCGAAACAAAGGCGAAAGAAACATCTGGCGCTTCTCGCTTGTTGTGCCAGGGACCAGATTTCAATTACAGCGTCTTAAAGCATTAAATACTTTTTAACGCCATTCCCCATTCTAAAATATTGTCCATCCGTCCGTTCGTCCTTGTATTTTCCGCTAAATATAACGGAGAAAGTGGCGTCACCTGACGTAACGTGATTTATACGCCTTGGGAAAGTTGACGGCACGTGCCATATATATATGTCACCTCAGTTTCCCCGTTAAATTTAACGTCAAAATTCACGTCTTCTGGTCAAAACATCAAATCAGTTTCCACGCTGAATTTAGCGGGAAATCGACGTCACGTGACATATACACCCCTCCAGTTACCCGCCAAATTTCGCGGAGAAATTCGCGTCTTGTTACTTACTTACCAATCCAGCTTCCCCGCTATATTTAGCGGGGGAAATGGACGTCGCGCGAGCTATATAACCATTCAATTTCCAGACTAAAATCAGTGGAAAAATATATGCGTCACGCGACACACCGATTCCCTCACCAATTTTCTACAATGCATTTTATGCATTATAAGACCTTACTAATTAAGGTCGCTGCCAATTTCTTTTTTTTTTTACTTATAAGAGAAACAATTTGCATAGTCATCTGCACTACGTACCGCACCTGGTCTATAGTCCGCATGAAAAAATTATCATACAAGCGCAGCTTGAGAAATGCCTGCTCTAGAAACTCCCAAACAATCCTGTAACGAGCAGAAATCATCATTACCACAACCCGTCATGCACAAAATCTGTCACGTCTCGTTACAACGAGTGATCTAGGAAAAAAGAAGAAAAAAAGAACTCGTAATGTTCGCAACATAAGGTTTGTATAACGTACGCTAGAGGTTGAACTGGCGCTAGTGTCTATGAAATTTCCCATTTCAAATCGACCCTTTTCAAAAGGCCATCGAGCAACATTGGCGGCTGCCATTGCATGGACATGTAGCACGTGATTGGACCCGAGTCCTCCCTGAACGCTGAAGCAGTCCTCGTATCTAATACATGATCATAGTATGTGATTAAGCAATGGCGGACACAAGATGGCGCGGACGTTTGCACAGGGTCGATTGAAGCAAACAACAACCAGTCCACTTTTACGGTGCTTTTGTGCATTCCTATGAGACAACGCGCGTGCATTTTGTTTCCTTGCCGGAGTATAACAGAAATTACCTTTGCTACTCGCATCGTAGCGAATTGGTCACTCTTAAAAAAAAACAAAAAAACTAGTAACCGCTGCAGTTACTGCCTTTTTTTGATCGTTACTACCTTCTTACGACCTGGTTACTACCCCGAACGCGCGGACAAGTTGGCGGCGCCTGCCGCATCGCTGATGGCCAGCGTTAGCGACGTACTTACCCATTCGGAACGCACGGGGAGGTATCCTCACGGAATCGTAGCATCAAATATCGTAGGACGGGGCATGTTTAAGGGCTGGAGCTGGCTTTATAACTATCGCAGCCTCCGCTCCAGCACGTCGTGGGTGCCAGCACTGCCGCGATCGCAGCCAGCATGGCAGCCAGGCGGATGGATGGATGGAAGAATGCTAAGGACTGTACCCTTTATATCGGGCTGTAGCTTGCGCAACCTAGCCTAGCCACAGCTACTGCTGATGCAATGGCCGTGCGGCGTCTGACTTTCCTTGACGCTTGAATTCGTTTGGAAGTGTTTATAATTTTATTTTCGTTTTAGCTGGAATGAAAATAGCCACGTAGCACGTGCTCAAAACGTTTCCGAAGAAAGGTTCATTCTTTTTTTTTTTTTTCTTGTATTCTTTGAAGTGTATGTTTCTCTTTAAAAAAGAACGTTTGACAACATTGTACGACAAGCAGGTTGGGACAGTGAATATTATGTAAGTTACACTATGCCTGTCGGTTTCTCTCTAAGAGTTGTCCAGGCCAGATTCTCCACCTCACAGCATGCACGAACGGCTGGGTAGCACCGTCAAACAGACGTTCGTTTTTTTTTTTTTTTTAGCATGGTGGTATTTACATTATTATTGAAGATATATCATATATATGATTTTTTAACAACATATGGAAGATTTTCTGGGTGTGACCAGCCTGATTCAAACAAGTTTCGCTGAGACAAAATACTACGAAACAAGCACGGCAAGGCTGCGCTTGTGCAGCGCCAATGCGGAGGACGCTTGGCCGCTTGGCCGCCTGCTTCGGTGGCAGTTTGGGGCTTTGGCGGTTGCCTTGAATCGCGCGCCTAGAAATAGTTGGCGCCGGGTCGTGAGCGGGTGAAAGGTGTAAAAAAAATAAGAAGTAATATTCCGCTAAAACAGCGAGCTGGTCCGGAGCTTTAAACTGTCGGTCAAGGATATCTATATTCCTTGCTGTCGGTGCTGCTGGGGCGGCATCATTGTATCTTCTACGGAAGAGATGGTTCGCTCGACTACACGGCAGGTTTGTGCTGAACGCCTAGGGGGCTCCACCGCGCGGCAGCCACACCTACTAATTGCCCTCTTCCTTCCGCTAGCCAGTGCTCCGAGCCGACAGGCATAGTGTAACTATATAGTTGGCGCTGGTTGGGGCGAGAGTTTGCGAGTCGTTCATTCTGCAATATGACTAACCTGCCTTTATTGCCATGCGTCGTTCGCTGTACTCGTGCTTCCCTGTTGGTGTGCACAGTTAACTTTTGTGCGCTCGACTGGACGAGTGTGTTCCGCTCGCCACCGGATCCGCCACTCTACGGCGATCGCTCCTACTTGACACTGGAAACGACTTCTTCGCGGTCTGTGTGTGGTCGGTGGTCGAATGATTTGAATTGAGCTCTCTACAGGCGTGACAGTACACTTTCACGACCGTTGATGTGCGTCGCAAACAGCGTATCTAGCTCTACGACTAATGAAAAAAATGTTTTGGGATTCTTTCCGAATTCGCTAATATCTTATCCAGAAACGCGACCATTCGTCAGTGGACTACACACAAATTAAGATTCGATCTGCATGCTGTATTAAGTTGGCATGCATCTCTGTCGCGCAACGTGTGAAAGGAGTGCAGCTGTCGTCGCACTCGCTGTCAATTACAGCCTTCGTTCGCCGCGGGTGACGACAAGAAAGCGATCTCTAGCCGACGGCGATCGCATTCATTTTAATTCCCGATTACGTGAGCGACGAGAAAGCTGGTTCGCGGCTGCTATTCGGGGAAGCGAAGACATGGGCCTGCCCCACTCCGGTCAGAGTGGGGATCCGACCTATTCCCAATCGATCCCAATCCTCTTGAGAGGCCGCTCTGCTCGCCTCACATCCTCATTTGCAGCTCGCGCTGCTCGATCGAGCTAGGCGAGTGACTCAGGCCTGTAGGGCCCTGGACTATGGGACCCAACCACGAGGCTCAATGACGCACACCCCATCTAAATAAGGTTTGTCCAACCAACCAATGGATGCTGAGAACCGGCGAGAGAGGTTGTTTCGACTGTCACAAATACTTTCCGTGTTTACCTCCATTTTTTACTAGGAAATAGAAGCCTTAAATCGTTTGAAAACTTTGTTCAGGAAGCATATCGTTGCGAAAAGAGTCCTATATTTGCAATATTATTCACTGACGTGGTGATACACGACGACAAGTTTGCGCACAAAAATTGTCACTATAAAATACTCAAGGGCAGTCAAGGGAGTGTCGCCATCTGAACCTCCATTGTACATGATAATAACTCTGGTCTGCGCCTGTGTATAGTCCTCACCGTCAAAAATTGTTAATTTTAAAATTCATCGTGTCAATTGTGTGCTGAAAATGTTTCTGTGCGAGATGTGTATGTAGTTGCAAATCTGGAGGCATTGAAAGAAACTGCATATATTAGGTTGCAGTTTTTTACTTTCAATTGAACGGTGACTAGTGCCACCTGGATTAGTCATTTACAGTTCTACACCCGTATTCACCAGGCGCGAGTAGCACCTGTTTAATCACTGACTAGCGACGTCATCGACTAAAATGATCACGAGATTTATATGCCACTAAAATGACGCCCATTTAGGAAAGGTTAAAACGCGCAAAACAGTAAAAGTACGGACACTATAAAAGGTTTTTTTTATTTATATTACTGTGCTGAATTTATCGGGCATCGGAAAGAGCTTTTGGAATTTCACCGTACTAAAAGATTTTGAGCATGTAGATTTGAGCTTGAAACACCAAAACTAACTTACCTTTGCAGCACCCACACATGAGGAGCAGAGCGAATGAAACGAGTTTTTTTACTGAAAATCGCACTCATTACTTGGCTTTACTTTATTTTGATCATCTACATGCACAGGTAGATACTGACCCAGTGTTTGTGTGCAGTTCTTGATCTCTTCTTGGTTTGCGAGATGCTCTTCGTTGCTTTGGCACGTAAATCCCCTGCAGAAAAGCGCCGATGCTGTGTTTGCGCTAACACTGTTGGACAATACATAAATACATGTACGAAGCAATTTCAGCACTATTTTTGATGGCATGCACTTGAAAGAAAAACACCCTGACAAATAGTTTTGTTCCCGTTACTAAGAAATGTCCCAATTTATCTATTACGCATGAAATTCGTGATATATGCTCTTGGTAATCAAGCACAGGGAGAAAATGCACTCACTTTTCCTCACAAAAATGCATTACCGGAAGTAAATTTCACATTGGTTGCCGTATGCTTCAATTTGAAACTCCGCACTAGCGCCAGTTGGACGTCTCTTGTACACGATAATAACTCTATGGTTCGCGCATGTGTATAGTCATCACCGTCTAAAATTGTCAACTTCAAAATTTGAATAGGCCGAAGACTACCGATTTCATTTGAATTTATCAAACCCGAGCTCACCTGCTAGCTCCTGCCCCTTCGCTTGACTCTTGGCTCCCGACAGCTTCTGGCGTCCATGACCCTCGACGGCATCTCCTTCAGCGTCGAGGGCAAAGAGGCGCGGCCGGGCAAGCCGAGACCCGTGACCAACGAGTTTGGAGTCATGGCCTACTTCGAGGTCTGCGTCCTGGTGCAGAACAGCTCGTGGACGAGGATGCCGTCCAGGGGGTTCGGGAACCCTGTGGCCTACAGGGACATGGAGGGCGTCGTGTACGAGGACCCCGAGAGTGCGCGGCACAAGGTCGACGTGGCCAAGAGCAGCTCCCTGGGAGGACTCGTGCTCTGGGATGTGACCAGCGACGACTACAGGGGAGACTGTGGAGCGGTGAACCCCATCACTACGACCGTGGTGAACACGCTGAGGGATGGGGTCGGTCCTGGCGCGTCTTCGACGTCCTCTGCGTTTGTGTTTCTGCGACCCTCGTCGCCCGCGAACGACAGTTTACCTGCGCCGTAGACGATCGAAATACAGCGATTTTCAAACTTTGTGCCTTCCGTGTGGTGTCGATCGAGTCACGTTCGCCACACTTTTTATGGTAACAAAAAAAAAACAAAAATAAACGGTGTTTATTTCCGAGAAAAAAACAAGAAGATCGGTATAAGATCGCACGAAGAGCAGGCGATCGGCGGGCGACATAAGTACAGTGATTCAATTTAACTTGACAATCGGGTACAATAAAAGCCGGAATTCTTAGAAACCATTCATTACCTCCGTCTCAGGTTAATTTGCATCCCAGTTAGGTTGATTAAAAAAAAAACATTTTTCAAATGCGATAGCAATTTTTGCGCCAACATCCAGCAGCCAAAACTGGAATGTGCAACGTCAAAAGTCACGACCTTCGTGTCCCTTTCCCGCAGGAGAGTTGGCTCTGCCAGGGCTTTCTTTCCTAGACGTAACGTCCGAGGACTATAGACCGGTAGTCCTCGGACTATCAACGAAAGGCGCGAACATCGATGGCACGACGATGTTCACGCCGTCTAGTCAATATACGCACCAAGTTTATCTGTGCAACACCACCGCGAAGCAACACCAGCCTTGTAAGCCTTCCCAAAAAAAGTAACCGATTACAATTACAATTATCTTCTTGAAAACTATAACTGATTAGGGTAACCAATTACTGCGTCACGAAAGTAATTGAAAAGTTACCAGAAAGTAATTGATTACATTTCACGTTACTTTTTTACTTTTTATTACGAAATAAAAAAATGTATAGATATGTTCAAAGTAGTTACATTTTTTTTACATTTTGTTGAGGTCAAGGCGAGTCTAGGTCTTTTTTTTCCACGACGCCTCGTTCCTCCGAAATGATTAGGAAGTACCGAAGCGTAGTTAGAATATTCCATCTTATAACACCAGAGAGAGCACGTGACCTTCCTTCCGGGTGCACTGAAAACAAGATAAGGTATTCCTAACAGAATTCGTCA